CCCCTTATCCCATTTCTACCCAGATGCCTGCTGTACTTTTAAGGAAATGCTACCCACAGTCTTACAGCCAGACAGACAAAATCCAGCCCAAGAGGTATAATATAACAGCATAGGCCAACTGGCGCGGTCAGACAGCACTCAGAGGGATGTGTGTTTACCCATCTTGGGCTTTGCAGACTGGCAGCTCCACGAAACAGGGATTGCATGGAAATCTGGGGGGCTGAGAGCTAAATTAGGCCTGAAGAAGGCTGAGCTCCAAACTCTTTGAAGATTTTCGGAAGGGGGTTAGCACAAGAGTTATTTACTCTGTAAGCAAAGGTAACTGTGGTTCTTGTAGCCCTGCATGAGCTCATGCCAGAGCTGCAAGCAATAAATAGTATGAAAAATAGCAAAATAAAGGTTTGCAGAGGCTGCAAAGATTCTCATGTATTTAGCCATGACCCCCACTGGCTGCTATATGCCACCACTCCATGGTGATGGGTAGCTGAACTGACTCACTTTGACACCTGCATGACGATTTCTGATGGCAGAGAGAGACAGACCTGGTTGCTGTAATTATTTGACGGGGTTGGGGGGAGAGGGAGAATTGGAAATCATTGGAAATGTTTGCTTTTCCTCAGACGCGAGGTCATGCTGCCATTCTGTGCCTTGTTCAGCCTGCTGCAAAATGGGGAAACGTACCTTTGTAAAGTGCTTGGAGACTCACAATGGAAAAATACTTAGTAGCTGTTAACCAGGGGTTTGGTCCAGCTCCATCTCATTAAAAGCACTTAGAGGAATGCTGTTGCTTTGCCAGTCCAGCTCTCCTTCCCTTCTGCTTGTGAGCCATGGGATGAGAACAGTCCCACAAAGAAAGGAAAAGGCCATTCACCCAAACATCCATCAGTAACGATTTGATTAGAGGAAGACTTTTCCCACTGCAGCCCAAAAGGCAGCTTTTCCACAGCCTATCAGTGAGGAAATCTTCAGAATTAATTAAATTTGTTGGGACTTCTTTCATGTAGTGGCTTGGATTTTGAGTTCAGACAGGGCAGCAATGGACTGGGAAAAGACTCTAATTCAGCTCTTCCTTTGCATATTCAACTTGGCAAACAAAATGTTACCTGTTGTTTTTTAGCAGTTTATAATATCTGGAGTTTATTTCGCTGCACATGGGCCTCAGTGGAAGAGGTGACTATGTAAGCCAGCACACTGTATACGCTGATGATTTTAATTTCTGTGCATGGACAGTACTCATAGTGGAACCTTTTCTATTAGTCTGTAAAGTGCCCTACATACCTCAATAGCATTGTGAGGATGAGAAACACTTGAATGCATTTTGAGTTACTGATTTCACTGAGGCAGGAAAGGAAAAATGTGAGATAAATATCAGGTGTTTGTGATAAAGGATCTGAGACTGAAGAAAAATATCCCAGAGGAGGCAAGCTACTAACAAGATGTAAAATCAGAACAGCCAGTGCCTTAGAATTACAGTAAGACAAATGCGTACACAACTCAATACACTCCCAGGGATGGGATGGGTGATTTTGTCTTCTCCCCTTGCTCAACTATCTGTATGAACATAGATATACAAGCTCATGCTGCACTCGAGGGGCAACAAAGTCTTTATTCCTTGGTTTGCACTGGTGCAGTGGCTTCCACAGTGCTCCTCTTGACAGCATCTGCAAAGAGAAATCTGGAAGCAGATCCTAGCATCTGCTCATTTCAGTTTGTTTTTGTAATTAAGGAGTGAAATAAACAAACAGAAGATCAGATGGTGAGAATATTAGAAAATCATTAGAAAATGGGCCAGTGTTCTGCATCCTCCCCATGCATCTTTCTCAGGTGCCAGACTTTGCAACTCCACTACCTTCAGCCAGACTTGGGTCCAGTTTTTCCTGTTATTCACTGACAGCGTGCTTGGCACAAAATGTAAAGAGACAAGACTCTCCCCCAGGAGTCTGCAGGCTCAATCAGACCCAGACAAAATAACGTGAACATGTGTGCTACTTTGGCTGCCACCAGAGTTCAGAGCAGGGTGAGGTAATCTGGACATTCCTGAAACACAAGATGTTCCAATGTCCGGTTGCTGCTGGAGACGGCCTAAGTGTAAAAGTGGACAGAAATTAGGATTGCTCCTCTTTGCACAGCAGTTCTTTGGGACATTTCAGTTGTTCTGTCCCCAGGCTTCAGGATTTCAGTCCTGCAGCCTAATCTAGGCTTTGATCTCAGGAGGGCTTTATGATTGAGCACCAGCCATTCCAATGGACAATTCAACTACTTGGGCTTGAGTGGCTACCTAAACAGAACAAATTGCCATTTGATTATAAATATCCTTCCAAGTTCAAGGATATTAAAAACCAGCTTTTTCTTTAACAGCACTTCCATAGACTATATGAGAGGCAAGAAGAAACTAGAGCAATCACCAGACTGCAGGCCAACAGACCTAAGCTCCATCATGATGGCAAAGTCACTTCTCCAAGAATTTCCAGAGGGAACTTCACATCTAGTCTTCTAAATTCTCGGTCCTAATTTCTGCTTTTGTTCAACAAATGTCCTGCTTCATGCTCACCTGGCTTGAATGAACTATACAGAATAACCATGACTAGGCTGTAGCATACCATGAGGACTCTTGATCTTGAATGTTGACCATTTACCCAACATATTTCATTCCCAGACCTCTCCAAAGTAAGAAGTGGCAGGAAGGAACCCACACTTTGATCACTTGGTCCTCCACAGAAGCCTGCCTGGCCATAGCCTATGATCCCATTCACCAGTACAGGCTGGGGACTGCTCTACTGAAAAGGACATGGGTGTTATGGTGGACCTTAGACTGAAAAAGAACCAGCAAGCAGTGTGCACTCACTGCAGACAAGGCAAAGTACATACTGTTCTACATTGGGAGGTTCGTGTCAGCAGATGGAGGTTACCTCCATCAATTCATCATTGGTGAGGTGTCCAGTTTGGGACAATGCTTTTCAGGGGAGTGTTGAAAGGCAGGAGAGGGTCTAGCAGAGGCTTTACGAGGATGGGAGGAATGCACCAGTACAGCCTGAGGCTAACCAGCTGGAAAGTGTCTTTGCAGAGGACTTCTGGGTCCTGGTGGACACCAACTTGCACATGAGCCAGCAATGCACCCTTGTGAGAAAGAAGGCAAACAGCCTCCTGGGTCGCATTAGGAGGTGCATTGCCAACAGGCCAAAGGAGCCTTCCTCCTCCTTCCCCTCTGCTCAGCACTGGTGAGACACATCAGGAGTGCCACATCCAGCAAATGCACAGAGACTTGGGAATCTCTTCTAAATCTCAGTTCCCCAGCTCTTTATCCCAGAGAGCTGGAAGCCTGACTACTTTTGTCAGGAGATGTGTTGGAGTTCAAGAGCTTGAGAGTTACAGCTAGCAGGGATTTGTAGTTCATTAGCCCAACAAGCAAGGTTTTGATGGCTGGGCCGGAAAAGACTTTGGCACTTGTCATGCAGGCCCAGAGCTGCTGTGATGCTCTCTGGACCCAGTTAGGACTGTCCCTGCAAAACATTCACTTTCGGCCAGCAGGAACTCTCCTGAGGATCCACTTTTCACTGGAAGGCTTCTGACCTAGGTAGCTTCCTCCTCCGCTTTGTACATGGCCACGAATGTCTCAAAGCATCTCACAGCAAATGGCACACCTTCGGTCTCTTCCAAGCCCCACAAGCAGCAAAAAGGATTAGTGCAGGCAGAAAGAGGATGGGGTATGCTTGGGGGAGCTGGATATCCAGATTCCTTTAGCCTTCCTCATTGAGACACGAAGCCTAGGCATACTGCTGTTCCTGTGAGCGCTGGAAGATGTGTTTGCAGCTCCTTGTCTCCTAGCTTTTCCGCACTTGGCTCTTTGGTAGCAGGGATTTCAAACCCTCATAACTCAAGTCTTTCAGCATCATTCTCTGCTGATTCAAGCTGATTTTTTTAACCTCAAAGTCCTGCTCAGCCACTTTGAGATATTCCAGACATTTTTCAACCATTTATTTTTATTGAAACCAGCCAAGTCTCTGTATATATTGGGCTTTTTTTTTATCTTTTTAATATACAAATCAGTTTAAAATAGTGTATAAGTCAGGAATGATTTGCAAATTAAACTGTCAAACCCTGGCAGGAGTAGCGGCTGACGCCCTTGGTTTGAAATCTCCCGGCTGCTGTTGCTGTGAGCGCAGATCTCTGGAAGATGCCACACAACCTCCTTGTGCTTTCCTGGAAAATTCAGCCATCCTTTGATTTCACAAAAGTCTTACAGTTCCTAAAAATGCTGCTGCATGTATCGTTCTAATGGGATCACCTAGCCCAGGGAAGGAATATGATATTTTAGGAGTCAGATGCTGGGGCTATGGTTGTGCCAATAGGTTAGGCAAATGTCTTCTGCCAGCACTATCGTGCTCCCATGGCAGGGCAGGAAGAGCCTCCAGTTGGGAAGAAGCTGCTCTAGTGGAGGAAGGACTCAAAAGAATAAGTATAAGTACCATGTTCAGGAAACAAGACTTTGTAGGAGCCTCATATTGGCCTGACCCTCCCTGTCACAGCAGAAAATGGCCTGTGCTCTCCATGAGCACCAAGGCACCCTGCTTGGGCTCAGCAACCTCATCTATTTCTCTGGGCCATTTGCCAAATGGCTGCCTCAAACATTACCATGTGTAGGTCCCCCAACTTCCCCTTCTCCTTTGCTCCCCTTGGCATAGTTCACATCTCTGTTCTTGCTCAGGCCTTAAAACCACTTTTGCACAGGGCAGGGGAAGAGAAACTTGAAGTGGGGATTGTGTGTCTTCTCCAAAACACACATCTCGAACCACTGGAAGACACTAATTATAAACCCAGGTATTTTCCTAGCGATTATTGGTAATCCCATATTGGCAGATGAGATGCTTAAGAGAGTACAGCAATATATATAAGTACTGAGGATGTACAAATACATTGGTTAAAATGTTCTTAGGTGACAAAATTTTGAGCCCTAAGGAATGCTGACATATCCATCAATATACCTGTTTCTTTTCTTCCAGATCGCTGGGAAGCCAGTGACCATGCCAACCTCCTCCACCCAGCTGCCAGCCCTTGACTCTATCAACTCCACCCAGCAACCCAACTCCAGCACCTACTTGTTCTCCAAGTTCATCCACCCTGACAACGAACTGTACACAGAATTTTACAGCCTGTGGATTGCCCTGATGGTAGTCAATGCCATCATTTTCCTGGTGGGTGTTGTGCTAAACAGCTTGGCGCTGTACGTCTTCTGCTTCCGTACCAAGACAAAAACCACCTCTGTTATTTACACCATCAACCTGATTGTCACTGATCTCTTGGTGGGCTTTTCCTTGCCTGTCCGGATCATCATGTTCTACAGTGCAGGGGACTGCCTGAATTGTTCCTTGGTTCATATCTTTGGCTACTTTGTCAACATGTACTGCAGCATCCTCTTCTTGACATGCATCTGCGTTGACCGTTATCTGGCAATCGTACAGGTGGAGGTCTCACGTAAATGGAGGAACCCCACCTGTGCCAAGGGGATCTGCGTCTTCATTTGGATCTTTGCCACTGTGGTGACTTTCTCCATTCTGACCATGGCAATACAGTTTGCTGCATGCTGTCTCTCAAAGATTCTGGTCCTGATGGTCTGTGAGTACTTCTTCCCCCTCATCATAATCATCTTCTTCACCACCAGGATTATGTGTGCTCTGTCCAAGCCCAGCCTCATGCACCAGAGTCGGGAGAGGAGAATGAGGGCTGTGCAACTCCTCATCACCGTCCTCATCATCTTCATGATCTGCTTCACTCCTTTTCACGTGCGACAGGTAGCAATCTCTGTCAACCCAGACATGCCCCATGATGTCAGCCTCCTCGTCTACCATGTGACAGTGACTCTGAGTAGCCTCAACAGCTGCATGGACCCCATTGTCTACTGCTTTGTCACCAATAACTTCCAGTCAACCATGAAAAACATCTTCAGGAAAACCGAGCCAGAGCAAACCAATGTGGACATCCTGGGTATGAACAAGAACTCCAAGGGCTCCAATGCAATCACTGCCTTCTCAAACACAATAGGAAGCCCTGTGAGCTTGCCATCACCAAGCAGTGTCCAGATATAACCCACATCTGATGGCACACACTGCAGTAAGCCAGTGCAATGATGCTGGAATATTGCTAGGATGCACAGTACTATTGTCTTTGACCTCTTTGGTTTTTAGGCTGATGTTCAGAATGACAGTGATGGAATTTATTCCTCAAGAACATTGTGGTCCATTTGGAAAATGGAACTTGCAGTGCTGTTAGTACCAATCCAAAAGAGAGTCTATTAATTACTGCTCCCAACAGGAAAGTTTTCTTTGTATTTTAATACAGACATTTTACTAGCAACAAATTCTTTACTGTGGTTTTCTTTTTGTGTTTGACATCATAATGCGACACTCCTAGGATGACTTAGCAGGAAATCTCTGTTTTCCATGAAAGCCTCTGGGCCTTGGGCATGCACTTAAGAGCAAAGGATAAGAAGGATGTTTCCAGAGCTATCCACTACAAAGATTTTAGATGCCAATGGAGTGGGAAAGAAAGTATTCTAACCCACCTGTCACTAGTAACTACTCATTTGTTTCTGAAAAAGTCTGAACCTTCTCAGGGAAGAGAAGATGAAGTCAAGCAGAAAAGTCTCCTCTCACTATTTCAGCTATAAGAAAAAAATACATGTGGGTGTATATATTTTCATACACATTGTCTGGGCTTAGGGAGAGGTTAAGGATATGTTCCACCTTCATATAGATCACTAAATCTTCTAAAATGCAGATAAGCATACAAAAAAGCTGTGAAAATGAACATGCTTTCCAGCAAATTCTGCTGTTCCGCTCTCTCTCGCTGAAGAACAGCCAAGATGAAAAGCAGAACCAGACTATGATGCTATACTACTCTTGTTTGATTTTTCTTCCTGGCATGTTGTAAAGTCAGGGCTTGTTGTCCTAATTCCCACTATCAGTCCATCCACTCAGTCACTTAAATGCTGGTGCTTCCAAGGACAGAAAAAGAATCTGTCATCTCAGGCATCTAGGTTGAAATTCACCCCAGTAAAAAGTCACTAGGATGATTTAAGAGCCATGCTTAAAAGGTACGTGAGGCTAAGGATGCCACAAAATTCTATCCACAATGGTGGGTAAATGTCTTAGATTACATTGTAGCAATATGAATACAAAAAATTATCCCAGGAAAACAGCAAAACCTGCAGCATGAACAGCAATAACTGTTGTTATTGCTCCATGTCTCCTCACTCACATGCCTATTGCCCCTCCAGCTGGAAGGCTACTATGAATTCATCAAGTCTAGTGAACAGCTTTTCCTGGCAGCCACTGGTGTTACCATTCAGAACAGCAGGCTTTATGGTTGGTCCAAGCTAGGGCATCCTAGAACACTCTGCTTCCCCAGCATCTGACCATGGGACAGCCACCTCCATTTCACAGGAACACAACATAACCAATGCTTCAGACTGCCTCTTGCAACTGAGTTTGCAAGAGTTTGCTTCTTACGACACATCTATGTTTCTCCTAACCTATTTCCCTGACCAATCCAATAATAATAAAAATTGAACAGTCAACATCACTGCAATACAGGGATCTATCCGAAGATGAGTATAGTTGTCCCTCAGAGCACTGGGTGTCCCAGTTTCTGTTCCAGGCAGTGGACTCCATGGAGAGCGATTCAGCTCATGGAAGCTGAGACTTCCCAGCTGAGTGACCCTGACCTCCATGTTGCCTAGATCTCGAGGGATATAACAGGAGCCCAGACACCACCTGCACATGGAGACACTTTAATGCATGCATCTTCATCTGGCACCAAAGTCCCCCAAGGGAAGGACTCAGTTGCCAGTAGACCAATGCCTAGTGCCCTCATAGGCATGATGGGGTGTCACTGCACCTCTAGCTCCTACTGCACAAGGCTGTGGTTCTTCTGCAAGTCCTGCACTGTCCCGATGGTCCTACCTTCAGGTATCCCATAGCGTTCATTGCTACTTGGGCAGCTGGGTCCTGTACCTGAAATAAAATTATGTATCTGAAACCTACAACTGGGCAGTGTTCAGTCGGCTAGTGCAGGGACCTGCAGGTCTCACCCAGAACATCAGCATGATACTGTCAGCTGCAGTTTATCCATTAATTCAGGCTCTTGATTGTCCTGGGGCACAGCAATTGCCATTGCTAGGTGTGTGACCTCTTTGAGGCTTTCCCAAGCAATACAGCTGACTCAGTGCCCTTCTGCTGGGACCTCTATTCCTTTGAAGAGTATTTTCCTTTCAAAAGGTTGTGATGAGGGCCACCAACACTGTGGCACTATCCCATGGGATATAAGACTGTTGTCCTGGTCATTGTTTCCCATTCTAGACATGGCCATGAACACGGTGAGCCTTCCCAGGGCCCAATTGTAATGTGTTTTCCTTCTGCCTCATCTATTCCTTTACTCATCTGTATATCACTGACATAGGCACCTAACAGCCGATGCCACCTTCTTGGCAACTCTCTGTTAAATGATGCATCAGCACACACAGATTAGGCTCTGACTTCTCGGCCAGGCTGGCTACTTCACATTTCTGCCACCGTTTTCCACCAACCCCTCATTTGGAGAGAGTATTTTATGCCTCAAAGGTCTGCATTTCCCTGCAAACCCCAAAAACTCATGCCCACCAACCCACAACACACTCTCAGACTTTTCCATGCCATCTAAGCTGTTTGTAATGAAAATGTGTGTCACATATACAGGGCTGTTAACAGTACTGTCTTTTGCCAAACTACTTCAGAGAAACGGGAGGAAAAGTGGAGGCTCAGTGCATAGCTTATTTTAGTTTCTTTGTTCCAACAAGCTACATCTTCACGCCTCCCTTTCTTTTGCTATCAACAGTATTTTTGCCATATACAGAAATGTCTTAACATCTTTCTCAGTTTATTTGTTCATTTGAGGTCACTATAAAATCTCTAAGATTATTTGCTTAGATTATTAAGTTCCCAAACAGGGTCTCAGTTGAAGCTCTGTCTTTCTGCTGTAAACTGAACTTGTAGTAGTCTGAATTCGCTTTACTGTCAGTGTATTATTTATTCAGTCCCCATAAAAGCCACCTCAGACTAGATAATTCTCTTTATTTGGTAATGCCTATTGCCTTACCCAGAGTTTTCAGTGGTCCTTCTTCATTTTATATCAGCTCCAAAGCAGGGTCTGCTCCCTTACCAAGGACACAGTCTCCAAAAATTGGAAAGAGGCTAAATCATTCACAAACTAGCCTATTCTTTCAGTGACTTTTTGTGCTCTCTCTTTAATCCATATTGTTTACACATCTTGCTTTTCCTCAGGGTGCAGCACTTGCTAAACTTCTGCCCTATTTAAAGTCACCCATTTCTGCTCAGGGCACAAAGTTGAAAATCAGAGCTGAAAACTCACTATCGTCAGAAGTACTCTCCCAAATAGCACAGTTTTGGTGGGCACCTTCCACCTGCCAGTTCTCATTGCTGCTGAAGCCTCCCTCGGTTCTCTGTGTTTCTGGAGACTGGGGTGAGGTCTCTTACTCCTTGATCTGCACCATCCCTCTGCTCAGGGTATCTTCTTGGGTTGCCTTTTAGTGATCACCAACAGGGATTGCAATAGTCCTGTTCCCACCCCAGCCTGCCCTTTCTCTGATGAGAACAGCCACACACGACACAGCAGGGAAGCCTCCAAGGAGAATGTAAGTAACTCCATGCATCATTAAATACATGCAGAGACTGCTAAGGTAAAGTACATACAAGTCAGCTTTTGCAGGGCAGTCTTTTATGCAGAGTATTTAGATTTAGATGCCAAATTCCCAATGATTTCAAATGAAATTAAGCATTTAAGAACCTATGATGATCTGGATCATACCCCAGAGGCTGAAATAGTAATAGGAAGGGGTGGGCATTGCATATACTACTACCACCACCAAGTCTGCGGTAGACAGACTACAGCATTCCCTAAAGAGCTTAATAGCAATAAAGAGCTCTGCAAAAAGCCCCGACCTTTCAGGGGAATTACAGCATTCATTCCTTTTTGATGTGTTGTGGTTCTCTCGTGCATCCGAAATCCTATAAAGCGAATTAGAAACATCCCCTTCTACCAGCTGCCCAGAGGCTAGCAAAAAAAGATCATGAAAAATCTCACATGTATTTCTTGGGGTCTCACCCATTCCTATGACAAGACATCTCTGCTAACCATCAGCTCACCTGCCTGAGTCACAACACACAGATGTCTGTAGTCTTTTGGCATGCCAGAGGATGGGTATCCAGGAATAAAGTTTAGCCTCTTTCTCTCCGTGCTGCGTCTCACCTGCATTGCATCCAGCACAGCCCACGTTTCAAAGTACTTCTGTCTTTGCAATGCTTTTCCTGTTACAGCCTAGAAACATGTAGCAAGGCAGAGGTGCAGAACAGCCAGCCCTCAGTCTTACAGCAAACACATCTGGGCACAGCAAAGCTGCAAATCTCCAATTCTGCACCAGAAAAGGAGGCCCTGACTCCACACATGGGGTTATCTGCCAGACTAGTTTCCTCCTGGGCTCTGAGCAAGCTCTGCCCTTCCTCCACAACCGTCTTGATAACTGCAGAGACGAAACAGCACAGCTATGTGCAAAGGTGATTTCTTCCTTCCTTGTCCCTCTGGATTTTGCTGTCCCTCAGATGTGTGCACAAGAGTCTCATTAGTCAGCCTAATCAGCATTGACAAGTACTCTTAGCAGGTGTAGGCTCGACTTGCAGAAAGGCTGAGGAAAGTGGAATTGCCCATATTAGGGCTATCAGCACAGGTGACCTGCATTAGCATTGAAGAAACACTGGCCTGCCACCCTGCCTATTCTGTATGAGTCAGCTGCCTCCTGCCAGGTGTAAGGGCAGGAGTGGCTCTGGGCAAGGATTTGGGAGACGGCGGCAGGTCTGATCCCCACAGTTGCTCTGGGGCAGGGGAAGGTAAGAAAGACATTGCAGAAGAATCAGAGCCCCAGACAAAGTAGTAACGGAGGAAGGAAAGGAGAGGGAAACAATGGGTTAAACAACAAGTGGAGATCCATGGAGGGGAGGGCTGGTGAGACCAAGGATAAGGAAGCTAATACAGGGGA